CTCTGGTTGAGCTAGATATTCCCAGTAATCAAAATGCCTTTGTAAATATTATACTATCTGCCAGAAGTGACCCTTCCTGAGCCACCACTGCCACCACCCTCTCCTTAGGTTTTAAGGTTTTACTCACTTCTCTCATTATCTCAGGCAAGATTGGATGCTCCCTTTTTGTGCTCCTAAAACACATTGTTTGTACCTTTCTGTTTGGTTTTTTTTATCATCTTGGGTTATAGGATGGTATGTGTGCAAGTCTGTATTCCCCTTGTGAAATTAATTTGAGAGCTTCCTAAGAGCTTCTCCTGTGGTCTTGTGCCTGTCCCAGTGCTCAGCAGAGCCTTGTACAGGCATCTCATAAAGTCTGTACATGGGGCTTTTTCCCTGGTGGTTGGTTATGAACGAAAAACTACATGCATAGGCAAGAAAGAAGACTCAAGATACATTATGCACAAGTACAAATTCCCTATGAATTTGATTATTACATATATCAAAAGAGTACCAATCAAATTAATTTTAACAAGCATTAAAAATAACATCCACAACTGAGGTGGTTTACAAATGACCCATAATTAGTATATTTCAGAATACTTTACAGTATAAAATAATTTTAAAGATTTGTCTTGGGTCAGAAATCCTGAGAACCAAACTGTAAAACACAGATCTATGAGTTGAAAAGTTTATTGGTGAGTATGCTCAAGGTTAGGACCTAGGGAATGGAAGAAATAGTGTTGGACTAGGGACGTAGGTTCAATCCTTGCACCACGTGTGTGCACACACACAGATTACAAGCTTGTTAAGAATACCTACCTCTCAGTTTAGGAGCTGTCAGGTAAAGCATGAATGAAGCCTCATCCCTTTACCCCAGTGTACCATACACATCTGACCTTATGCTGTGTATGCTAGACATAAAACAGGCAGGGAAGGCTGATAGTGCATTCTTCTGTCTCAAGCCAAGAGTACGGGTACCTGGGCTTCTTAAAAGTTCTCCAGAGGAAATACTCCATCTTCCCTTTGGGACCGTGTTGTTCCAGTGACTCTGTTTTCCTCAGGTCTACTCTTTTATTCCCAAAGAACACAAAAAATTTCTGCAATTGAGACCAAACATTTTGTAGAATTTTTATATGAGATGCAGGGCAAGATCTTCACTAATACTGCAACTACTTTGAAAGTTGATAACTCAAAGATAAATTAAGAACTGACCTTAGTATTATTACTAAAAAAGAAATAAAACACAATAGTAGCTGCAAAAGAAACCCAAGGAAGTTATTGCTCCTCAAAGGAACAAACTGATTTCAAACTTGTGTGGAGTATGTGCATATTCTCACACAGTAAATAATTGATAATTTATTAAAGCAGGCCCTCTAAAGATTTCTCCCCTTATTTTGTTATAATAGTTACAAAATATAATAACGTTCATGTTCTGAAACATGTTTGGAAGTGTAGACTGTTGGTTTGTTTATACTTACACTGTTCATTATGATATTCCCTAACTACATGCGGCTGTTGAGCACTTGAAATATATACCACAGATGTAAAATACACACTGAATTTGAAGAGTTAGTGTGACAAAATGAAAGTAAAATATGTCAAAAAATTTTTATTGTCCATTGGAATAATAGTTTAGATGTATGGGGTTAAATAAAGTATTAAAATTAATTTCATCTTCTTAAATGGGGCTGCTAGCCAATACAAAACCACATGTGACTCACATGGTATGTTATCGAGCAGCACTACAGGTACACCCTTCCTCAGACACTCTAGGCTGGACTCAAGCAGACCTTTCTTGTATCCCACAGCATGCTGCCATGGGCCCTTTTCCCAACAAGTGAAGCTAGTACTGACCATCGTCCCTGCCCTTAGTAATATGAGCCTTTGTAACTGATTACAAGAAGGAGGCCTGACTATTTTCTATTGCTGAAAAACAACAACAAAAACATCTCAGTCCTAAATATTGAATAGAATGGTTAGTTCTTCCACTCCTAACCCCACTCTGAATTATCAGGGTGGTGGGGGTTTTTTGTTTTTTTGTTTGTTTGTTTGTTTGTTTTTTAGTTGGTTGGTTGGTTGGTTTGCTTGTTTTTTTTGGGTCACTCTCCAGGATTCAGAAATGTAGTTGTATGTAGAGGCGTAGCCTTTAAGTTTGGACAAATCAGAGTTTTCGATGCCGCTGTCTGTATGTGTAACTCTATGTCCTTGGATAGATGAATTAAATTCTCTCACCCTCAATTTTCTCACATGTAACCACCTCACAAAGTCATTAGAATTAGACGAAATAATACATGCAAAGGCCTAGAGATACACCTAGTGTAGGTATACTATATATAATGTAGTCTGATTTCCTCTTTGGTTAGGCAAACTAGGGGAATGTGTATACAGGAAAATAGGAGAAAAATTGAATAATATCTAGCTACTGTACCTTTAAAATCTAAAATTAAATAAAAGGTTTCCTGGTTTTATTGTACTTTAATAATGTAACTTTTTAAATATATAGGATAACTTTTTAAATAGGATAACTTTTTAAATATTTTCTTGGATAATGTTGTAATTTCTTTAAATAGAAAATTTTCCTAACAGATTATAATGGAATTTTACTTACATATTACACATTTCATACAAATGTAGTAGATATACATGAATATATAATACACATCCCTTGCCTTATTTCAGAAAATAACCCAGGTAACTAAACTTTTATAAAATTTGATAGATATAACCACTAACAACTTTTTACTTCAGAAAAAAACTGAAATAAAAGTTACAGTAGTTCCCCAAATTCAGAATTTTTCCAAGGTTATACTAAAATTTAAATGATTCTACCTGCAATTTTAGATTAATTCAGAATTTAAAGTATAGTGACAAATATTGGGAGTCTGAACAATCAAAGAAGTAATAAAATTTCCCAGAGCTAAAGAAATGCATTGGCCTGGAGATTATGCAGACTGAACATAAAAAAGACCCATCCCTAAGAATTTCACAGAAAACTTTCAAAACTTAATAGGTGAGGAGGAAGCTCCTTCTTCCAAAAAGGACCAAAAAAAAAACCAACTTTGTTTATAAGATCGTCATCATTACCATACATGGTGGCACATGGCTGTAATCCCAGCACTCAGTGCTGGGAGTTTGAGGCCAGCCTGTGCTACAAAATGAGTTCAAGGCCAGCCTGAAATGCAGAGCAAGACCCTAAAAATATAGAATCATCATTAAATTTCTTATTGATGATAAAACTGAGGACCTGGATACATTGTGTTTATTTTCACATTTGTGTGGAAAAGTATTTTGAGCTATAATCTTATTTTCAAGCAAATTAACATTCCAATGGGAGGATGAAATATGTGGAATCATGTAAGAATTCAAGTCTACTGCTTCCATCCCACTCTGCAGCATTTCATATGCACATTCTACCATTTCATAAATATAAAATCACTTATTAAATAATTCTTGTATCAACAGTGAAATCAAAAACCAAAATTCAAACGTTTTAGGGAATACTATCTTTAAAAATTTCCAAATACCAACACCCTGAAAAATTGAGATAAAACTATATTCAGAGGAAGTACAATTACTAAAAAATAAGAAAGACCGTAAGCTATCTAAAGTACACAATTCAAGAAGGTAGGAAGCAAACATCGAAATATACCTAAAAAAAGGAAAGGGATGCGTAAGGATAAAAGAAGAGCTTAACAACATATTAAAACCAAAATACACTTCCTCAAACAATGAAATAACCTCATATTCTGTAAGCCTGATCAAGAACAAGAAAAAAATTGCTAACATGTACAAAGTAAGAAATATAATACAAGTAAAGATGCAGAAGAAGGGTGAGTTTTCAAAAATTATAAGAGACTACTGTATACAACTTTATAAGCTGGAAACCTGGACAGAGTTTTCTGTTACTGCCAAAAAGTTACCACAAATTTAGTGGCTTAACAACCCAAATTTACTATTTAAAGGTTACGTAGCTCACAATTCTGATATAGGTCTCACCAGACTAACACCCAGGTGTCCAGAGGCTATGGAGGAGATTCATTGCTTTTTTTGCAACCGTGACAGAATTCTTTTTCCTGTAAGTATAGGATCAAGGTCCCTGTTTTCTTACTGGCTATTTACTGAGGATACGTCTCAGCTTCCAGAGGATTTGTTGGCTCATGACCCTTTTTTCCATTTGCAAAGCAAGCGGTGCCAGGTCAAGTCCCTCTCCTGCTTAACTGCCTCCTTTTCTTCCTGAGTCACCATTCTGTTCTCCTGAGTCACCATTCTGCCTTCCTCTTCCACCATCGGGACTTAAGTGATGAGACTGGCCAACGATGATAACCCAGATAATTCTCTTTAACCTTACTCACACCTTTAACTTTAATGAGACCTGCAAAAGCAATGCCTTTTAGAAATCACTGCTATCAAGTTTTATAGGTAATCTAAATCTGAAAGGGACAGATAAATTCAGTTATATAAACTTTTAAAATGACGGAATTTTTTTCGTTTTGTGAAAATGTTACGTTCTTGTGAATCAAAGTGCTTTGGCTTCTTAGGTTTCTCTTACATTCTGTGTGTTTTAGAACTAATTTTAAAGTCAAACTTGAGTAAACGTTCCTATTGTTTTAACCTTGCATCACCTCCAAAGGCAGGTAAAGCCAGTGGCTTAAGCAGAGAAGCAGTGAAAAAATTCATGAAAGGAGAAAATGAAAAACTTAGGTTTACAGCAAATACCTAAGTTATATCCCAGTATTCATCTTAGGGTCAGAAATGCCTTCTTAAACAGGACACTAAAAAAGAAGCCCTAAAAAAAAAGACATCTCATTAAAAACAGCACGTTTTGTTACAGTTTAACACAGCAGCATCTGTATGTTGATAGTGTGAATAAAGCCATGCCATAATTGGTCAACATTCATTTTCTCTAATATTTTTGTTTACATTCTGTTTTTCTAAGTACATGTTTGCAGTATTAAAATAGTAGATTCAGTAGCTTAATGAAAGCCTCAGTTTTAACTGCTACTTAATTTTTCTTATAGGACAGAGTTCTAAAAACATCAGTTCATCTCCAAGCATTGAAAGTTTGCCTGGGGGAAGAGAATTTACAGGCTCTCCACCTTCATCTGCTACTAAAAAAGATTCTTTTTTTAGCAACATCTCACGTTCCCGCTCACACAGCAAAACTATGGGCCGAAAAGAATCTGTAAGTATTTAAAGACAGTTTATTTTTTATCGTTCATTTTTCTCTAGAGTGCTGCGTTTACGAAAGCACCTAAAGTGTTTTAAAGCTCCTGAAACTTTTATGGGCTAAAACAAAGTATTTTATCAATAGTGTGTGAATTTGATAATTAAAATTTACTGTTAAGGCTATGACCTGTATTGAATAGAAAAAAATAGCATTAATTTAAATTAAATTGAATCTTTCCAAATCCCAATCCTTTGTCCCTCTTCCTTTTGGTAAAGCCCTGTGATTTTTTTCTAGAAATTTCTAATAACATACAAATGAGTAATTATAACCCTTAAAATGAACTGAGCTGATTTTTCCATTTTAAGTATTTCTTAAAACTTAAAAATAATGATTTTACCATTTCCTTTATAAAAGATATGTAAGCTATATTTATGGTATGGTGTGTTGATAGTTGCACCATAAAATCCTTTGTAAAGTAAATATTTCTCAAAAGAACATCTAAAGAAATCAATTACTTTGAAATCATCATTGTCTAAAATTTTTGTAAACCAGTGTCATAAGAACTTCACATTTAACATTGTCTAATTTAACACCTAATTTTCTAATACAAGTTTAAATATGAATTACTAATTCGCCTCCCAAAAAAACGATAAATATAGAGGTAATACAAAATCTAGCTAGAGTTGAAATGGAACTAAAGTAGAAAACAACTATATAACCTTCAAATGAGAAGTATTTAAGGTGTTCAGAATAAGTAATACCGTGATATCTGTCTGTATGACTTTGGATATTCTCAAGACTGTCAGCTTCCTGCTGTTTTAACCACCTCATCTGCAAATTGAAAAATATACAATTACACATTGTCTAATGATGGGGATGTGCTCTGAGAAGTGCATTCTTCAGTCATTTTGTTGTGTGAACCCCACTGAGTGAACTTACACAAACTCAAATAGCTGCAACATCACTAGGTGATACAAACTTATGAGACAATTGTTACATATGTGGTCTGTCTTTGAATAAAGCACCATTATGTAGCATGTGAGGGTACTTCACTCTCTGGAAGGGAAGCACTCACTACATGCTTCTAGGGTCCCTCTCACTGTGTAGGAACTGTGTGATTCTATAATTTATACAAGAGCAGAATAGAACTTTAAAGATGGCACCTTTACTGCAAACATTTAGCTCTCTTCCTTCATAAAACTCCATGGCAAGGAAACTAAGGATAGTTAAACCCTCAAAGAATAAGAAAATATAAGAGAAGACAACAGTAACAGATGTAATTAATTGGAAATAAGATTGCATCTGTAACTAAGCAATATCAGAAGTCTGAACCCTAAGTTAGCAGTAGGTAAAAGCCAATAAGCAACTTGATTTGCATTGTAAAATACTGCAGAAGCTTGGGAATTGAGAATGAGGATGAAGATATACCTGAAGATAGGAAAATTTGTCCAAAGTTTTTTTTTTCCCCAAGAATTAAATTATTTTTTCCACTTTAGCAGAAGACTAGAAGTTTAATTTTTAGAAAAGTGTAAAACAATGTCTGTGGACCGAGAGACATCAGGAATATACTACTCTGGGACTTCCCTACTAGACGAGGGGTGATGAATATATTGAAATACTAAATATGAGGATTCCCTTGCCAAGCTCATCTACTTGCTTCTCAGAGTACCAGTATGTATACCCCCACAAACATACTGACCTTAATGGTTCTCCAAGGAAACAGCTAAATCATCTGACAATGGACCCAACCATTAACAAGCCCCAGAAAAAGCCAGAAGTTCCACTTAGCGCCACAATTCACACACTTTTGTACAGGCAAGACTACTCAGAACGTGTGGTGAGTATATGGTAATGAAAGACAGTATATGTCAAGAAAACTTAAATAAAATTATATACAGTCATCTCTCAGTATTCATGGGGGGATTGGTTCGAGGATCTCTCCACTAACACTAATATCTATGGAGCTCAAGTTCCTCTAGAAAATGCCATATTTGCATATAATACAAATATTCACATCTTTCTATATTCTTTAACTCATCTCTAAATTACTTTTTTTTTCTTTTGGGTAGTACTGGAGATTGAACTGAGGGCCTTGTGCATGCTAGGCAAGCACTCTACCACTGATCTACATCCCCAGCCCTAGATTACTTTTAATGACTAATAAAAAAATACTATGTAAATAATTATACTTTATTGTTTAGACAGTAATGTCAAGAAAAGAGTTTATACATGTTCAATACACACATCGTTTAAGTGGCAGTTGGTTGAATCCACCAATAACCCACAGATATTGACAGCTGACTCACTCATTCAGAGAGTGAAGAAAAGGAGGACAGTAAAATTAGTAAATGATATCCAAAATGTAAACCTCAGAATTCAGTGGAAGAGTTGGAAGATAAAAGTGAGGAAAGCACCCCAGAAAATAGAAGACAAGAAAAGAACAGAGAAAATATATGAAACTTACAGAACTGACCTAGGAGGTTGAAAATCTTTTGTAAGAGTTCCAGAGAGAATAGAGGAAACAAAGGGAGCTAATAGCTTAAAAAATAATAATAATAATAATAATAATTCCACTAGTAAAAGATCTGAGTCTGAAGATTGCACAACTATAGTTGAATATGGATCTGAATCGAGAACTTTATAAAAACTTTTAAAAAATTAATAATCCCAAAGAAAAAGTATGTGGAAGAAAAGAAAGGTTATGATAACCCTTATAACTAAGCTGTTACTGGAATTTATATAGATGTTATGGTTTGTGTCTAGATGTGCTCCAAACCTTCATGCAGTCATAGATGGAGCTTTTTCAGAGGTGGCTGAATCAGAGTATGTGATTGATTCATGATGCAATGCTAGGAGTAAGGGTGCTAGTATTAAGAGTGAGTGATTACTAACTCAGTACATTGATTGGTTTGGCAGCGCCCTAATCCCAATAGCCTGGTACAATATAAGGGAGAGAAAGAGGCTTGTGTTCTCCCTCTCTGTTGCTTTTGCTACCTTCTGCCCACCGTGTAATGTTTCTCCTCTGCAAAGCCACCCTGCCTTGGAGCCAGCCAATTATGGACTGAAACCTCTGAAAGCTAAACCTTTCCTCCCTTACCTTGTGGTTGTTAAGTATTTTGAATCAGCAGTGAGAGAAAAGTAACTAAGAAAGTGGACATAATCATGTCAGCTATTGACTATTACTCTAATCAAAATCACATTCTATTGAGCAGATACAGTGTGTGAACTGTATGTTTATTGGGAAGATGAGGGAACAGGTGAATAGTAGTTAGTAGAGCTAAATCTCCTTTCTCCCATAATGGGGAATCGATGGAGAATACTCTAGAAAATTTAAGAACTAGCAATATAAATTAGAGATATAGAGGTGGAAAATGAAACCAAAATATAAAAGAACTGAAAGTGTTTGCTTCTAGGAACCAGGAAATGGAGGGTGGAGTTGTGAGAACTGTTGCTCATAACAAGCTTTGTAGAACTGTTTGACTTTTAAAGTGTTCATATATAACTTAGATTTAAAATAACAACTGAAAATTACAAGAAAATAGAATACATTGGCTAATAAATTAGAAGAGGACATGTGTCTGTACAAAGAACATTTGAAGAGCCAGAATAAGGAAATAACAAATAAGAAAGGCATATGGAGACATGTTTAATTTGCATTCTATTATATTTTGGAAATTTAGAGATTAACCTACAGTACCAATTAATTACTTCTCTTGATGGTGATAGTGTAACTCAAAACTGAGAAGTTGAGCAAAAATAAAAATAGGCTAGGTCTAATTCCCTACGTATACCTGCTGTGAAAAAGAGACAGAACACAAGTTATCATTCACAACTTATATCTCCTAACTTGTGGCAAAGAAATAGATACTTTAAAAGAAAGCTCATGGTTTTCTCAGTGATACAGTAGTTGTATTTAATGAAGTAACATATATGGTAGTATTATACTCATTGTTCCTCACCATTATACCTCCTTGTTCCCTTTCATCTGTCAGAGTCATATGACTAGGTCTGTCCACTGAATTGCAAGTGGAAGTGACGTGTGTGCATGCACACATGCACGCGTGAGCACACATGCATGCATGCACATGTATTGCCACCACAGAAATCTCCACAAGTTTCTTTCTCTCTGACATAATGAGCAGAGCCTATCTGCTAACCCAGGAAGTACAACATAAAAGTATGATTGAGAAGTAAGCTTTTGTTAATCTAAACTTTTGAGATTGATGGTTATCACAGCTTAACAGTGCACAGTTGGGAAATGGTCAGGCCCACAGCTTAGACTCATTCTCCCGTGGGAGCTACCTATTCCCACCAAAATAGAGCCTAAAACTGGGTACATGCCATCTGTAGATCTACTTTGTTTTCATTTCCAGGCCAGTTTGGTGTGAGGCAGGGATAGCGTAGTCCTTGTCCTCAAAAAACTCAAGATAGTTTTCACTGAAGTCATTTTCATCAGTTCTTACTGCAACAACTCGTCAGAAATTGAAGCAAAGCTATTTCTTACTGTGAGCCCTCTATGCCTTAAACTATATGACATTTTCCATTTTCAAAACATTTCAGTTCTTAAAGTTGCCCAGCATCAAGAGATCATTGATGTTAATTAGGCTAAAATAGAAGTTTCAGACAGACATAAAGCGAAAGATAAGTTAGTAGTAGCTATCAGCTGACATGTGGTAAAAACTACAAACAGTGGTGTTTTGAAAATGATTTCCAAAATCAATATAGGTGTGACATATCCTGGACAAGAATTTATTTTGTAGAACTTGTTTCCTCTTAGTATTGCTTAGTGTTCCTCTTAGTATTCCTCTTAGTGTTTATGTATCATATAAAAGCTTTCTTTAAGCCATAGGCTATCTTCTTTAGAAAAAGATGTATCATACTTACTCTTGTTAATATCATTGATTGGCTATATAATAAAAGAAAGTAGAATTCAGCTAAATATTTAAAGATACAACAAATTAAGCCTTGTGCAGATGTTTATAAAAGGCATAATTATACTTCTTTACTGTGAACAA